AAAAAAAAGTAATGGGTTTGATAAGTAAGGCTACAACGGCACTAAAAATCATGAGGCAGAAGACCCTTAATGACCTGAAAGACATTCACCATATACTCACTGGAAATAGGAAAATAAACATTATCTGAAGTATGTACACTTGTGGAAGGGAGTACAAAAGATATATACATGTGTTAAAGTGTACAAGGATCTCTCTATATACATAAACATATTGCCACACCATGGTAAAAGGACCAGAATACACCTGAACTTAAAAACTACTCAGGTGATGATATGTTTTGTGTTTTGTTTTTGTATATTAGGGAAGGGTCTACAGGGTGTTCAGGGTCTCACTATGAGATCTGAGATCAGACTCATAGTGATCTGCCTGTTTACAGCTTCCCAAGAGCTGGGATTACAGGTGCGTACCATCACGCCCAGTCTCAATTGCCATCTCAGTGCCTGGGGGGTGGGGCTGGCACGGCAAGCTTGGGAACTCCTAGCTGGCACTTTAATCTGCTGAGCTATTTGGCCGGCCCTCAGATGATGATTTTAATTATCTTTTATGCTTTTTTTTGGTACCAGGAATCAAACTCACAACCTTGTGCTTGTCCCCTAGCTAAAGCATCAGTCTCCATTCTGAGTATCAGGCTCACTAGTGACTCTAGATTTGCCATGAATTACTAACTTCCCTCTCTCTCCTCCTCTTTCCCCTTCTCTTGCTCTCTCCCTTCCTTTTTTGTAGTACTGGAGACTGAACCAGTGTCTTTGCACCAAACTATATCTTGATACATTTAATACAAATTTTTAAAAAATCCTGAGATGGTCTCATGAAGTTGCCAGGCTAGGATTACATGTACCACCACACCTAAAACTTACCATCTTAACCGGTTTAAGTGTGTGCTTCAGTGGTAGTTAATACATTCATACTATAGTGCAACCATCACCACCACTCATCTGCAGAGAGCTCTTTACTCTATAAAACTCAAACTTTACACTCATTAAATAATGAGTTCATGTCACTCCACCCGATCCCCAGAAACAATCAAACTACCTTCATCTATTAGCCTGATTAGCTACCTAATCTAAGTGAAATCACACAGTATTTGTTCTTCTGTGCCTCACTTCTTTCATTAGCACAATGCCCTTAAGGTTCACTTATATGAACATGTGGCATATGTCACATTTTGTTCCACTGAAAGAATGAAGACTATTCTATTGTATGTATGCCCAGTAATTAGCTTGTCCAGTCTTTTGTCAATGAACAGTGGGGTTGCTGCTACATTTTGAGTAATCCTGCCATGAACATGGGCAGATACAGTTATTCTTTTTTTCAACGTACATTTTTTAACATACATTTGAGACCCTGCTTTCAAGTGTTTATGGACATATTCCCAGAAGTGGAATTGCTGAATCATATATGTAATCACACACACACACACACACACACACACACACACACACACACACACACAGTGTAATTCCGGTTTTAATTTGAGGAATACCACCAGATAGCTCAAAAATAAATCTGTATGGCAGTAACTTCCAGGCCTACTGCAAAAGCCCAGCTTTCCTGCCAAGAGCTTCACAACCATGTGTCTTGCTCTTGAACATCTCTATTGTTCACAACCAAATCTTAACACAGGAAGTAAGAGCTAGGCATGATGGTGCACACCCATAATTCCAGCACTCTGGTAGGCCAAGGCAGAAGAACTGCAAATTCAAACCCAGTAAGACCCTGTGTCAAAATAAAAACACAAGCTGGGCATGGTGGCACTCATCTATTATCCCAGCACTCAAGAGACTAAAGCAGGAGGATCACTTTGTGTTTGAGGCCAGCCTGGGACACATGTTGAGTCCAAAGACAGCCTCAGCTACAGAGTGAGAGTCCTGTCTCTTTCACAATTTTTTTGGGAGGTACCAGGAATGGAACTCAGGCAGATGCTGTGCCACTGAGTTGTATCCCCAACTCTTGACCCTGTTTCAAAAAAGGGGGGCGGGCTGGT